ACCTCGAATTCGAACACGCGTTCTATTCGAATGACGTCATATCGAACATGGTGGAACATGATTCGGGTTCGAAACATGTATGTGGCCATCGTGCAGACACAATATCAGCCTAGGCCGCCTTAACCCAACCGAGCGTTCCGTGTTGAAAAGAACACAAAAACTTCATTCTCAATTTGTTGTCAGATTCGACCCATAGTAATTTAATTAATGTTGAGCATAAAATGCCTAAACACCTCAAAACACACTGAAAAACAAGCTGTTTAACGTCACCAGGATCATTCCGATGCCTTCCTGTCCTATGAGATTCAATGGTTCATTGCAGTATTTAGAAATCTACATATCATGTACATATTGAGCCTTATGTTGAACCTCTGTGACGTAGGGACATGATGGCCTTGGCTGTGCCTGATACGTATACGAACGGTCTTTATATTAACCATTTATACTGAAAAAAGTTCATGATTCTACCTGGTGCTTTATATAATCAGTATTTGTCAGTTTTTGATGTTTTTAAAATCCTACAATTTTTTCCATGGTAAGTAACTTGTAATGGGCAACACTTTGATTTAGTTGCGTTTCACTTTTAAGTGCACCTTGCACGGTGGGAGAGGGCAGAAAAGGTCGTGGGAGCTGTAAATGAACAACAATCAATGGACCTGCTTCAAACAGTTGCAGTTATTAAATCTGTCAATTGTTTTCTGCGCACGGCATTGTGTCCACCGTTTGGCCACACGGGTGAAACGGCTTCAAACTGACGATGTCTAAAGGGTAGCTCGAAAACTTGTTTATCAACGCATTTGGAAAGGCAGGTATTGCTTACTGGGTACGTCCAAAATCATTCAGAACTGCGTCGTGTCGCATTTTCACAATGGATCGCGGTGTGCTTACCATATATTGCGCTCTATGCATATTTAAAATGACTGGTTTTAATATCCTACAATTCTTTCCAATGACTTGTAATGGGTAGCCTTGAGATTTAATTATCACTGACTTAAGTGCACCTTGCACAGTGGGAGAGGGCAGAAAAGGTCGTGTGAACGATAAATGAACCTGGCGGTTTAAGTCATCAATATTAAATCTGTCAAAATCGTTTTCCTGCTATCGTCGATAATTAACGGCATTGTATCCACCGTGTGACCACCCAGGTGACCGTGGGAAACATTCAACTGACAAATTTCATTAAAAACGGCTTCAAACTCACAATGTTTGTAGGGGATCCACACGGTTAGCATAAGTGTTAAAACATATGGAACTTTGAATAGGTTATAACTTTTTCGTCGTTCCTCATTGCCAGAATGGGCATCTAAATGCAGATCTTAAATGGCTGGTAAAGGTTACCCTGTCCAGTTCCTTCGCACCGTATCTTTTGCAGTAATCTAAAAAGATTAACCACTTGCAACTGGCACAGTGAAAATTTGTCACTCTCCAATCACCTTTTACATTGTCAAATGCTCAATTGTGAATTATTTCTCAAGCCCGCGTTGGATGGCAGTGCTGGATACGAACGGAAAAAAAGGTTTTCCAAAATCTAGCTGATGCTTTATATACTGATTATTTGTCATTTTTTTTTACGTTTTTACGCCCTGCATTTCTTTACAATGTCAGTAACTTGTATGTAATGGGCGACACTTTCATTTAGTTGCCTTTCACTTCAGTGCACCTTGCACGGTGGGAGAGGGCAGAAAAGGTCGTGTGAACTCTAAAAATACTCTGTACAACAATGGACATGGTTCAAACAGTCGTGGGATTTCTGTGTTGGTCCAAGGACATTTTATCAATATAAAACGTCCTTGGTTTGCCGGGTATAGGCAGCGTGGGAATATTGATACATCATGTGTTTCTCCAGATCCAGAGTTTTCAACCATCTTCTTTTCATGCAGTGTCAGGCCATCACATTTGACCAATCACAATCGTTGATTTGAATGACGTTTACGCCAAACGTATAATAGCATGGTATATATACCTGAACCTATAAAGTTAGAGAGCGGACAGTGAGCTGGCATTTGGCAACTTTGCTTCACCAACAACACTGAACCAGTAAGTACCTGTCTTTGTCCGTTTTTCTATTTTATTCCCCCTGCTAGATCATGAAACGACGGTACATACTTAGTTGATGAAATATGACAATTTTCGGTGTCTTTTCTATAGCTTAGAATAAAAACATGATAACCTTGCCTGATTCTCAACTTGTTGACGTGACTGATCAGAAATTCGTACTGTGTCACCCATTGTTGAAAAGCTCGAGGGTTCTTGTCCAACCTGGTCTGTGTTATCCTTCCTTCCGTGAATTTATATCATAGCTAAGGCCACTCAGTGTATTCTAACTCCATAGCATAGAATTTTAGCTCTATCGCACCTCTGCTAGAGAAGTTTCTCTTGCTCATTGCCATTCGCTCGATCGAGACGCTGAGGTTTTTTGTCAATGTCGCGATCAAAGTCTCTCTATCCAGGCTTACGACTTGATATTTACGGACGTTCATTGTTGAAAGTTTCAATAAGGTCATATTTGTTACTTTTTGGAACACGGTGACAACTCAACAACATACTTTGCTCCCAACCAACGAGCAAGTTAAACCGTCATGTTTTAGACTTGTATGTTCTTGGTTTATACTGTTCTAGTTTAGCGTTTTCCAACAACAAACTAAAGGTAACGCGGTAGAGGTATCTAAGGGACCTTTTATAAGAAGTATTTTACTTTTTTTATTGGCTAAGTGCAACAAAAACTGTGAATTCGTCGCAGTATATACTAGCAGGCGACGGTGGCGTGTTTAACTGGGTGGCCTGTTTAAAGTTAAAACTTGAATGTGACTTGACTTCTTGTGTTCACTTCTTTAAAAGCCTTAAATTTCTGACAAAGCTCTTCTGATACTTTCATAACATTTTGAGTACGCCGTTTTTTTGTTGCAACTGGGCAAAAGATTGCAGGATTTGACCGCCAATAATAGCTAGTAGTAGTGCCTTGCCACGCTTCAGACTCCCATATTTCTCTTCAATGTCACGGCCCGAACCTGAGATTTCACACTGCTTGACGATGAATTCTTTGCAGCTTATATTTCTGTGGATACTTCTATGGCTTTTGGCTAACAGAGAGAGTTTCTGTTGTATGATAATACGCTTCGAACACCCAAGAAAGGTACCTCCTACATTTAGGGCCATTATGAGCCATTTAGAGTCGTTATGCTGAGGTCACATTTCCAAACTTCGGCCCGGCCGGGCTGTTGGCATAAGCGAAAAATCGGCAATTCTTATCAGTACTTATGGTTATCTATTAAACTTCAGCTGTGTTTTGTTGTCATTTATAAACTTGTAGTACTTTTCGTTCCCAAAAGCTGCCGAGCCGGGCCCCGGTTTGGAAATGTGACCTCATTATTAGGTTGATCATTTCTTTATGTGCTTAAAACAAATCAACGATAGAAAAACTAACCTTTATACCCTTGTGTACGGACTGTGATCTCCTCGCTCAAAGTAAATCCAGGCTTTTTGTAACTTGGATGTGGACATTATCAGGTTCCCATGTATCGTCAAGAATTTCTAAGAAAATGCTAAAGTGAGTGCCTTGAAGAAAACTGGCCAAATTGCCAAAAATGCAAAAGAGGTTGGATATGATGTACGAAGTTGTTTTCGTGCGTCCTTGTTTGGCCTGATAGGGACAAAACACAACCTGTACATATGTCCTCAGGCAGATTTTCCTTCCAGCTCATTTGGTGCCCCGGTGTCATCACGCCAGTGTTGTCAGACAGGCCGCCGCCATTGTTCACAGGACACTGTAGTAGTATTTTATCCCCTTGTGCTCAGTATGCAAAAATGTGTCCCTTTTTTAATTCCAATTTGTAATCACAAGACGTGGTGACGGCACACTCAAGTTTTTCAACTCACATTCATACCGCCACCAACACAGGGAACAAGACAATGCTCATTTTCACCTGAGCGAAGTGGGCAAAATCATGTAAAGTGCCTTTCCCACGGGCAAAAGATCGGTGGCATGTCAGGACTCGAACCCGGGACCTCTTGATTTCAGGTCGAGCACTCTGCCGCTAGGCCACGCGACCCCACTGGCCAAAACTTTGCGTTGCAAAATTTGCATACCGAGCACAAGGAGACAGAATTCATTGGATAGAAATACTATACGAGACAATGAGTAAAGGTGAAACATTTTCCACCAACTATTTGATTTTTCTTATTCGGGCAATTTTACAACTTATTTTGTGAATATAGTAACAATGAGTTCTTATGCTAGGGTACACACAAAGTGAAATGGAGTTATATTTGAGGAAGCTTGTGGAATTTAATAGCTTTGATAGAAAAGGCCGGGTTAATTCGTTTTTGGCGTAAATAAAGCCCCTGCCATGGTTAGGTCACAAATTCGTCGGTGCCTGTAGGGGATGTAGCCCCGGCTGGGCTCTTTAGTCTGGAGACACCGGTTGTCGTGGTCTATTCGGGGGAGGTTCAATGAATGTGTGACAGGGCCATAAGGAGGTTCCCACACACTCATTTTACGTTCAACCAAAAGTTGTTGGACAGGTGTCGTCACCTGTTATAAACCGCAGTGGCATTGTCATATTCAAGACCTGCTGACATAAAAGTGCAGGACAACATAGGAAGTTACATTTTGCTGATGCGAGTATATGCATTATTTTTGTTTGTTTCTTTTTTTTTTTCAAATATACAAATAAGACTGTAAATTGCACATGGTCCAGTGTAGTAAGATCACTACATTTTTATGTAACTGGTTGCAGTTTATATTTCGGTAGACACTTCGACGACTTTTGTAAAAAAAAGGAGAGACCAATCCGTTTATATACTCTTCGCGCGTTATGAAAACCATCGACAAAAGTCGATGGCTGTGGTCTTATACTTTTTTAAGCTGCACAACCGTCGAAAAAAGGTAAACATATTGCCTTTGCACAGTTTCGTCTTCTTTGGTATACAAATTATGTCGTAAACTTGCAAACTGCAATCCCTAATTGCCAGTCTGTGTTCAGGTGTTGTACGCCGACACGATGGAGGGTCCGTGTACATCTGGGTTCTGGAGCTGGGTGGTTCTGATGCTGATGGTGACGACTGCAACAGTCACTGGGCAAGGTAAACCTTGATCTCCATGGTTATATCATTGAAAATTCTTTAAAGATGGGGATCTGGATTTTTCTTGCGTCATTATTGTTTAGCTTCTTGGCTTGGCTTCTTTCCGACGATTTTAGGGTCGGGAGCCGATGTTCGGGCATCCCAGCGCGGAATTGTTTCTTCTTCTTCTTCTTTTCGTCTTGGCAGACGACGCTCTGCTTATCGTCGATGGGCTCGTCCATGTGCGGCCAGCCCAGCTTTACTCTTGCATTGTTTAGTACACCTTTAATAGCATAGATAAGGTTACATTGGTACGAGGTCATGGTCAATTTGCGTTCATATTTGGAATGCAGATTCATTGCAACATTGAACTAGATATGCATATTGCAGACTGAGACGTTAAGATGGCTTCAAACTATGTCATAAAAGGATAGTTACAATAGACCTGTTCGTCCTCTCCAGCTCGCATGCCCCAACTTGGCTATAGCTTAGGGCATCGGTAATCTATGCTGCGTCTTCGCAACACTTTCTCCCATCCTTAACGCGGCTATTTTTCATGTGAGCCTTATAATTCAAGACATAGTTTTAAATTCCTCCGACCAGTGAATTGCTTTGTGGGGAATGGAGCATCCTACCGAGGAACAGTCTCTGTGACTGCAACAGGCAAGACTTGTCAACGCTGGGACAGTCAGACACCTCATGGACACAGCAGGACACCTGGTAACTACCCATCAGCCGGATTGGGGGAGAACTACTGCAGGAATCCTGATGGTGAGCCCGGGCCTTGGTGCTACACCACGGACCCCAGCTCGAGATGGGAGCTGTGTGACGTACCATTATGTGGTAAGGTCTGATTCTGTAACCTTAAGACCTGGTGGTGGAACTTCTGTGTTAATAACCTACTCTCCTCTATTATTGTACTACATCTACTCGTCGACATTTCAGCGTTTTCATACACGTGTATGCTACCTAGTAAAAGCAGTTTGGGAATAGATTGTGATTGTCAATTTCATTACCAATGTGACTAGATAAAGCAAGACTCTCATTTCGTTGTAGTCGCAGTTAATGGTGGTTGGTCCGACTGGGGTACATGGTCTAACTGTAGCGTGACGTGTGGAGTCGGGACGGAGACTCGGGACAGAACATGCACCAACCCTGCACCAGCGAACGGAGGGGCAGACTGTGACGGACTTGCTCAGGAGACACAGGCATGTGACACGGGGGTGTCTTGTCCAGGTGAATAACTTGCAATAACTGCTGTCACCATAGATCTTTAAGATCAGTTATGAGGACATGTAAGATTCTGATCTTAAAATAAGGTCTTTACCTGCCTTTTGGAATGAATGCCAGCAGTGTCTTTAGAACCGATTCAAATGGGCGAAGTTTTAATTTGATTGTTAGTTGACGGTGGTTGGTCCAACTGGGGCGCATGGTCTGGCTGCAGCGTGACGTGTGGAGTCGGGACGGAGACTCGGGACAGAACCTGCACCAACCCTGCATCAGAGAACAATGGGGCAGACTGTGACGGACCTGCTCAGGAGACACAGGCATGTGACACGGGGGTGTCTTGTCCAGGTAACTCGAAGTTATCGCCACAGATGTATTTTAACATAATGTCCTAAGCGAAGCATGATATAGGAAAGATTTTTATTAAAAAAATATATCCGGGAGAGATTCTAGGTATTAGCACTAACAAGAGGTTTCTTTGTAGCAATGGTTACTAGTCCATTAGCAACGTTTCATACGTTTCATACCCCACATTTCCAGCGCTCTCGGGGCTGACCCTCTATGATGCCGGGATTGGTCATCTCGCCGTTTCCTGGACAGTCGTGGGGAATCTTCCGATCTCGCGCTACAGGCTCCGCTACCAGCCGGCAGACGGGTCGGGCTCGTACCGGGACCTCTCCCCTGCACCAGGAGCGGACACCACCTCGGCTACTGTGCAGGGACTGTTTGCAGACACGGAATACATCCTCACGCTGACTTCTTTTGGCGAGGGCGACCAGCCAAACGGGGAGATCAGTGGGACATACACCACAAGTGGGTGATGTGAAATACTGATGCATTGAACGCTGGTCTAGCCTCTAGTTTGTGCAGTGCATATGGAATTGGCCAATCCCTGATCAAACAGTTAGGGGTTCGAATCCCAATTTTCCCGCTACTATAGAACTATTTCCTGCTATTAGTAATCTTCTTGGATTATCCGTCCCAGAAGCCAACAAGAATAAGAACAAGACGTAATAATAGGCTTTTCTTACTGTTACAGAGTCGTTTGTGGTGAACGTAGTGTGTGACCAGGACAGTATGAGTCTATCCATCCCCCGTGCGGCGCTGCCGGCTGTGAATGTGGAGGACCTGCACCTGCTGGACCCGGACTGTGGAGCCACTGAGGACGAAGACGTCTTTAAGTTGGAGACACACCTGCAGGAGTGTGGAACCAGGCAGGAGGTAAGACAGTGCAACGATTTGGTGTAACAAGTCGTCCGGTGTAATATTGCTGCTACCGCGGAGCGTGCCTGCGAAGCTGGTGTGTAAGGTCGATGGGCGGTTATACCGGCTATACATGTACAGTTATAGATAGCAAACCCCATTCCCTCCCTACATGTAGATCAAGCAAGCCTAAGTGATTAAACCTGACTGCATTTCTTGTGATTTGCTGTACATTGCCTTCATGTAGGTTGAGATGATCTAAAATAATTTGCTTAAAAGTGTTATGTATGGATTGGATATATCTTTTTTTAACCAAATTGATTAAGGTTCCACGATTTTTTTCTGGATTTCTGGATTGCCGTGTCTCTTGTATTTCCTCAGACCTCAGGAGACGACAAATTCATCTTTTCCAACGAAGTCATTGCCAAACAAGTGACTCAGGCCAACGGCGCTGTGCGTAACCAGCCGGTACACCTGCCCTTCCAGTGCGAGTTCCTCCGTCAGCACGTAGTTTCCCAGGGTGACGACATCATGTATAACATCCCCTCTCCTCGGTAAGACCCTCCTTGCTGTGGCTTAAACATGCATGAGAGTATCTAAAATATGTTCATCAGGTCGATAGGGCATAGGATATGGGTATCTATATGGCTAATGATAACGGAGAGAAGCAGAACTCCAGTCAGAAGCTGTAAGGAAGGTGTCTGACAGACATCGAAACGTAAGCAGGTGAGACAGTACAGGTTGTGTATGAAGAAAATCCCCATATCTTATACCTAAGACTATTTTTAACAGTGACTTCTTGATTATCAACAATTTGATTAATGATTGCAGAGTAGTTGGTTGGATTTAATGTTCAGGTTTACTGCTTCCTTAACTAAGTTTTGTAATCTCCTTGCAGCCTTCAAATCATTGACGCCAACAACAGCTTCACCATGGAGATGCATATGTTCACTTCGGAAGACTTCAGTGCAACCTACGAGAGTTTTGACTTCCCGCTTCAGGTCAGAAAGTTTTCATTTAAGATTTATCAGCCTCTATATAGTCTTATTTTGTTCTGACACAAAAGAAAGACATCTACGAAATGAGCAAATTATTGATCAATTTGTTTCAATTATTGATCAACTTAACGGCTTTAATGCTGATGATATACTTTACACATTAAATTTTGCGATTTTAGTAAAACCAAGTAGTATGCCTTCACTAAATGATGATTAATTGATTTCATTATTTTCATCTTCATCATTTCATTTCTGATCTGAGCTCTGATTCTTAGTTCTCGATAATTCTTAGTCTCATTATCCAATCTGTACTTATGTGTACATTTGTTTTATGCATTTGTATTGCTTGCCGATCCTTGAAGATTATTCCTATAAAGGGATTAAATCTCAATAAGCTCAATGAATAGATAGAGACTGCTTCTGTACACACCTCAGGTGTCACCATCTGACCGTCTTCACTTCGGCCTGAGCGTGGCGTCACCGCTGGACAACCTGGAGCTGTTCGCCCGTGACTGTGTCTCCACCCCCACCACCAACGCTGACGACTCTCCTAGGGTCAGCATCATCGACGATGGGTAAGTCTGCTCTAGGAACGTGTTATGATGTTTGAATAGTTGGTTGATAGTTTGTTGTAGGTACGTCTGGGACCTGACTGGTTGGCTAGTTTGTTGGTTTGTTGGAAAGATAGATGGATGATGTGTGGATACATAGGGGGATAAATGGATAAATGGATGGTCAGTTGGTTGTTTTGGTTGAACACTTGGTCAGATTCCTGGTTGGATGTCTTCCGCTTGTTTGTTCCATTGTTAGTGATAAGTGGTTGGTTGGTAGGTTAGTTAGTAAATGAGTAGGTTGGGTGGTTCTTTGTGCAATCATCGGTTACTTGGCGGTATACGTATTAATATACTTGTGCTCACAATGAATGATTTGTTCCTTCTGACAGCTGCCAGGTTGATCAAACTCTACAGAAGGACAATGACCTTTCTAACGACAGGGCCTTGTACTACAGCGTGGCCGCCTTCACGTTTCCCAACGCGCTCGACCCTAGCCTGGTAGAGTGTCACTTTTGTGGTGACTGGTTGATGGGAGGTTGCAGATGGTTAATTGCTTGGTGACAGTTACATTGGCTTATGACATATATCTGAATGCCAAACTCTGCTAAAACACATTTTCAGGATATAGCATCATGAGTTTGAGGACATGCATGTACCAACACAAGTGGTGGGTTAGCTGAAACGATAGAACAGCAAAAACAGCAAACATATGTTTTAAAAAGCTTGGCTGAGGTTTGGGTCTGGTAACTGCTGTTTATGATTGCAAATGACATGTTTCATTATTCCATCAGGTGTACTTCCACTGCACCATGATCATCTGCTTCAAGGACGACCCTGACTCCCGGTGCAAACAGGGCTGCATCCCGCCAGCACGGCGCAGGCGAGCCGTCTCGGACGGGACGGAGACCAGGGTTCGCCGGGAGAGCAGCAGGGACAAGCGGGCAGACATCACCCAAGGACCCTTCCAGGTGCAGTCCGGAGAAGCAGGAACAGGTAGATGATAAAAACACGTTTTCTACAGCAATAAGGAAGACGGAAAATTAATTAATTTTTTTAGGAAGGATTATTAATGCAGCTAGATATACATCTCAATCTGTTCCTGAAACTTGGGTTCCTGAAATTATTGTAGGGTATGTGGAAGCATTGTTTGCAATTTTTTTGTTCTAGATGCTGCTTACATTGTGCTTGTAGATCTTTGCCTGTCGATACTTGAGATGGTGAGAAAAATGGTAAAGTGAAGATCAAAGAACACTTTAGAACATAAGAAAGACATTTAAATGTATTCTGTTGTTCCACAGGACCAGCCGGAGTACCGCTGGGTACCGCGGTGGGAGCGGCTGTTGGAGTTGCCGGGATCATGGTGCTTCTGATCGTGGCCGGTGTTCTGGTGAAGAAACGGGGCGGTCTGGCCTTAGGGAGGAAGAAGCGTGATGACGACACTGTTGGTAAGTCCCTACAGTTAATGTTTGATATCAACTTCAATCGAAGTCAGTTTTCCTCAACTGCATCGGATATGTCTCAACTGTATGTTATGTCTCATCCGAGAAAGAAAAGTAAAGTAGAAATTGCGTTCTCATTATTCTTGCAAACTATTTTCTGCTTCACGGGCTATATGTAGACTCACAATGATGTTGTCAGAAGACTATGATCTCTACCCTTCGGACGCCATTTGTAGCAGCATGTCTACGTGGCCTTACAATGGGTCTGTGTATTGCGCCACCGTTTTGATGAGTGGATTTTGTTTCCCTGTTAGGACTGGACAACTACGCGTTCCAGAGTTGGGGAAACATGAACAAGGCTGGCATTGCTGACACCAAAGCCTAGAGCGTTCTCCTTCCCATACAGAAACAATGTAGACTTCTGAAGCTTGCTTCTAATCTTGACTAGTCTCCTTACCACGTTCTACAACTAGACGTTTGGGACAGCCCTCATAGAGCGTTTTTTCCTTCTGTTTGTCACTTCTATTTGAACCGGGAGTCTTTCGCCGGCACAGCTAAGGAGGCTAGAGTTAGGCAGTATTCGTAATAGCAAATCTTCTTCAGTTAATTGACCTTAATCAGCATACCAAGTATCAGATCAACAACAGAAAAGGGTCTCCATCTAAAGATAGAGACAGCGTAGAAAACTTTATCACAATAAATCAATAGCATAGTCTTTCTTCTATCTAAACTTCGTGAACTTTTTCATCTTGAAGAACAGTATAAACTCTTCATATCAATTAATCAGAGATGCTATAATGAACGTTATCATCATAGCGATAATAGTGTTTTCTCGCTTAGTCTCTCTAGCTAAAGTTATTGTAGTGAACTTTATCACCACACCGCTATAATTATAGACTATCTAGTGACGCTTAATGGAAAAGGTATAAAACTAAAAGTTAGCTGTTGGCTGCTTTAATGTTGAATTGTTTAGATTAGACGGCAGGTACGGACTTATTCGGACGCCATGATGTTCTACTAGCGTACTGCTAGACTCTGGTGCATAGAAATTCGAAGGCCACATGGCTTTCTCTTACCTTTGAATTAACAGTAACTCTCTCAAGTAACTCTCTTCTAAGCGTATATACAAAATCTATTTTGCGATTGTCTTATATTTTACAATATACTATTCACGATATACTTTTTCTTTTATCATGTAGTAGCTTACTTGCAGCTATACCTGTTATTTAGGGTCGTCTTCTTGTTCTAATCGCGTACTGCTAGACTCTGGTGCAGATTACAACTAGACTTTATCTAAACTTCTAAATTTACAGTAACTGGTGTGCACAAGGTATAAGGGAGCCTTCTTTCTTCTAAGTTTATATACAACATCTCTTTTGTTTCTTTCTTACATTTCAGAATCTGCTTTGGCCTATTCATTTCTTATAATAATTACTTGCAGCAAAGAAATATCGCGGTGAAAAAATGGGTAATGTGACAATGACTCAATATGCAGAACACAAAGCTCAATGTGACAGAGTTCACTTATCAATTCATATCACTATCAGAATTGTATCAATATCAGTACATCATTTTTATGCCAATTATTGTATTTCGATCTGCAGCTGTGCTTATACTACGTACACGTTTTAATGTGGGGGGGATCTGAGCAACCGTTGTTTACAAACTCTTTCTATACATAACATACTACACTAAAACAAACATTCCTATAATATATTATAAACGCTAAAGCACACAGTCACTTTATATGCAATGTAGTAATATTCTTGACAAGTGAACTCTTGTCTCTAGATTACTGTGTTGTAGGGTGTAGAATAAAAATATGTACTGTATTGTTTGTCTTGTGATGAGACCAGGAAACATCCGGAGTTCCGTACATACGGAATAAAGCGGAGTTATGGGGTCACATATCAGTTGCCTGTGACTTTTTTAAACCACTGACTGTAACACTGCTATATTACTGTCACGAGTGTTCAACGTATACATATGTGGAGAGTTCTAAACACTGCAATGAACCATTGGATCTCTAGGCGGAGCTGTTTCTGTTTGCACTGAGTCCGTTTGGTCGGAACTATCAGGGTTGAAAATCATGCCACCTATCGCTTCCATTTAAAAGTCCAACCTTTGAGATTTATTCAAGAACTTGACTTGACTTGTCAAACCTGTACTAGTGACCACCTCTACATAAGGACCACCTGGCCATTGATATACAGTCAAACCTGCAATAGTGGCCACCTCTACAAAATGACCACATCGCTATTGATATACAGTCAAACCTGTACTAGTGATCACCTCTACATGATGGCCACATGAATATTGATATACAGTCAAACTGTACTAGTGATCACCTCTACATAATGACAACATAGTCATTGATATACAGTCAAACCTGTACTAGTGATCAACTCTACATAATGACCACATTAATATAGATATACAGTCAAACCTGTACTAGTGATCACCTCTACATAATGACAACATAGTCATTGATATACAGTCAAACCTGTACTAGTGATCAACTCTACATAATGACCACATGAATATAGATATACAGTCAAACCTGTACTAGTGATCACCTCTACATAATGACAACATAGTCATTGACATACAGTCAAACCTGTACTAGTGATCACCTCTAAGTAATGACAACATAGTCATTGATATTACAGTCAAACCTATACTAGTGACGTCGTTGAAGGTTAGACATCCAGGTAGTACGATACGTCAAAAAACAGTTACTCAAGCAACTGGATATGATTTTGAAAACGTCAGACGTTTCAGCTAGTATCCACTAGCTTTCGTCAGTGACTGAGAGACCAGAGAGGACAAACAGACAACACTTAAGCTCCTGTTCTGTATAACAGGAGCTTTCAGACTAATTTGCATCATTTTGTCTTGACTTGTCTGACTGTTGTTCATTTTTCGACTTCCAAAAATTTGTCTTCACTTTATTTGCATATCAATCAACAGGTTGCACTTATAAACCTGCTTTCCCCTCTGGTCTCTCAGTCACTGACGAAAGCTAGTGGATACTAGCTGAAACGTCTGACGTTTTCAAAATCAAATCCAGTTGCTTGAGTAACTGTTTTTTGGCCTATACTAGTGACCACCTTTACATAATGACAATATAGCTATTGATATACAGTCAAACCTGTACTAGTGATCACCTCTGCATAATGACCACATGAATATTGATATACAGTCAAACCTGTATTAGTGATCAATTCTACATGGTGACCACATGAGTATTGATACTAGTATACAGTCAAAACTGTACTAGTGATCACCTCTACATAAGGACCAAAGAATACTGATATACAGTCAAACCTGTACTAGTGATCACCTCTACATAATGACAACATAGTCATTAATATAGAGTCAAACATGTACTAGTGATCATCTCTCCATAAGGACCAAAGAATACTGATATACAGTCAAACCTGTACTAGTGATCACCTCTACATAATGACAACATAGTCATTAATATACAGTCAAACATGTACTAGTGATCACCTCTACATAATGACAATATAGCTATTGATATACAGTCAAACCTGTACTAGTGATCACCTCTACATAATGACCACATGAATATTGATATACAGTCAAACCTATACTAGTGATCACCTCTGCATAATGACCACATGAATATTTATATACAGTCAAACCTGTACTAGTGATCACCTCTAGATATTGACAACATAGTCATTGTTAGTATACAGTCAAAACTGTACTAGTGATCACCTCTACATAAGGACCACATGAATATTGATATACAGTCAAACCTGTACTAGTGATCACCTCTACATAATGACAACATAGTCATTGATATACAGTCAAACATGTACTAGTGATCACCTCCACATAATGACAACATAGTCATTGATATACAGTCAAACCTGTACTAGTGATCACCTCTACATAATGACAACATAGTCATTGATATACAGTCAGACCTGTACTAGTGATCACCTCTACATAATGACAACATAGTCATTGATATACTATCAAACCTGTACTAGTGATCACCTCTACATAAGGAAAATATAGCTACTGATATACAGTCAAACCAGTACTAGTGATCACCTCTACATAATGACAACATAGTCATTGATATACAGTCAAACCTATACTAGTGGTCACCTATACATAATGACCACCTGGCTATTGATATACAGTCAAACCTGTACTAGTGATCACCTCTAGATATTGACAACATAGTCATTGATATACAGTCAAACCTGTACTAGTGATCACCTTTACATAATGACAACATAGTCATTGATATACAGTCAAATCTGTATAAGTGCTGACCCCTACATAAAGACCACCTAAACCAATATGATAACTTTTTAGTGGCCCCTTAAATAATTTCCCAATTCGCACGGGAAATTAAAGTGCTGTTCATAGTGGCCACCTGTCCACAAAGTCGACATGTTATAATATCTTCTTTGTGGTCTTTTTGAGCAGGTTTGATTATAAGGGGGTACAAAAAATTCCTAATTTACTACTGCTGTTTCATTTTGAGACTGTGTCTTCCATATTTCAACGTAAGTATAGCTGCAAATTTAAGCGTCATATGTAAGATATTCTATTGTCAAAGCGTTTACACGTTTAACCTTCTATGGTCTGTATGCCAGGCTGTTATCAGGGTCGGCACATGGGTCAGCTCCCGAGTTAGACCCTAATCAACAGTGGGTTGAATAGAGACATGACGAAGTTTTCCTGTGTGCAAATCGGACCGATTTGAACTGAACTGGGTCTGCGGTAGGGTGGCCTTGGGAACTTGTTGACCCTGGAGCCAAAGAGCAGGCCTGTCTAATCTCCAAGCAGATCATACGGTGGTAAGGCTTTGGTCATTGGCCAGAGGAGTGTCCATTAGCCACCGGTGGACGTACAATGGACATTGGATACTGCCTTTTGTTTGCCATCGTATGGTCTGCTTGGAGATTAAGCCTGTATACTTGCCTCCCCCAGTTAATTGACCAATTACGCTCTGCTCACACCAATGCACATTTGATCATCCACAATCGTTAATTCACCGTAACTAACTGGCTAATTACTCCGTTCTGACGCCTGCTAGTACGGTGATACCTGGCCAGCCATCAATCTTAAATCTGTCATAGCTAATATTTTAGGTCTGTCGGTTGCAGACATGCGTGTTGCACAGTTGTTTCTTGCCCTTCCGAATATATGAGGTGAAACATAGTCTTTAAAGGATGCAATTTTATTGTTGCAGCCTGGTCATTAAACATTCAAGCACAATTAAGCTGTTAAAATGTGACAGGTGTTTGGGAAGGCGTACTTTTGACCGTACTTATAACTTAACGTAGTTACTTCTGGATCTAAAGTACTGCAGAAAATGTTGCTAAGTAAACGCCTTCC